AGATTGGATGTTAGGGGGAAGTTCTTCACAAGGAGAGTAGTTAGGCCCTGGAACGGGCTGCCCAGGGAGGTTGTGGATGCCCCATCCTTGGACGTGTTCAAGGCCAGGTTGGACGGGGTCCTGGGCAACCTGATCTGAATATGTATGTTTGGTGGCCCTGCTAGGCAGGGGGGTTGGAACTACATGATCCTTGAGGTCCCTTCCAACCCGGGTGATTCTGTGATTCTGTGATTTAGAAGTGGTATTTCTATCTATTAGTAAATGATTAACATCTTGCAAAGTCATTAATGCTGAGTCACCACCCCATCCAAACCTCCTAAGTTCTACCACATTTCTAGTCAGACTCCGAAAATCATTAATAGCTTTTGAAAACCTTTTTCTTCATTACTTGCTGGCTTCTACATCAATCCAACCCAGGGTCTTGGCTATGAACCCCACTGTGCAGGCACCGTGTGGGTTTGTAGCAAGTCTCAGTTTAGGTCCATATTTTGCAACAAGATCCATATATCATCTTGTCCAAGTTACTAAGGTTGAGATATAGAGTGTGATTTAACTCCCACTAATGTCAAGTGAGGTCTGTTACATGTGGCTACATCATACGGTAAATGCTACAGACAAATCTTGCTAAACAATACTTATTTCCTCCCCCTTTCCCTCCCCCCCTCCCCCACCATCTAGGAAAGGGAACCTGGACACGCAAGCTAGAAGGAAGCCATGAGCAGCCACATTTCTGATATGGACAAGTTGTGGGGATGCAGTTTGCTGAACAGTGCAATTCTGGTTGTTTCACAAATAGTATGACAGACTCTAGACCAAACCTGATTATGCACAGTTTTTCCAGATCTCACCACAGTCACAGCAGTATGAGACAGACCACATTCCTGCAGGTGATTTGACAATGCTTCTGGTCAGCTGGGAACAGGTGCAAGACACTTGCTCATCCCGAACTAGAACAGAACATGCTGCATGTGGCTGGCTTGACACCAGAGTAAGAGCATTCTGCTTCCTGCCAGCAGAAATGCTTTAAGGTTGGGATTATTCTGGGCTTAATTCTATTAGACAATTTGACTCCCATTTGGAGTTAGCCAAGAGCTGTGACTTCTTATAATGTCCAAGAAGTCAAACAGATCAAGTGTCAAAGTTATTCCCCAAGCTGCAAGTCATTCCCAGAACCTGCTTATTCACAGATACAGCCTTTGACTATCTGATGACTGTCCTACTTGTTATTGCTGAGATTCTACCACAATCTCTCCCATTTGCAATACCACATTTCTCATATACTTGAGCAAGTTCCCATAAATAATAGCATATTTCATTGAGAGCATCTGAAATCACAGATTCAATCTGAAGACTACAAACACGCCTGTACTGAATCCTGGCATTCAAACAGAAGGAGGACAAGGCTGGCTTCTTGCCCCATAGCCAGCGTGCCTGAGCCCAAGTGAACTATCTCATGATCAGTTTAAGTCAACAACTGCAGTCCCACACCAGCCTCCCAAATGCACATTCCCAGCTTGCCTGTTGGGGACCACTAAAGCCATACAAATTGACACTTGAATTGGTACTGCACAAATACGATCAAACTTCACAACAAATTGAAACTACAGACCAATGTTTGAAACCAAGAGCTTTTGAATCAGGTGGTGAATATTATGGAAGATCAATCCTGTGCTGCCCTGGGCTACTGTTCCAATGTCAGAGCAGGAACACAAATGAGAGAGGAGGCACAGCTGTAGCTCTATTCCTTGCAGACTCCTCACATGACTAGCATTCTCTCTTTCAGTGGGACTCGAAAATAAGTTTTCTTTCTGACTATACTGCCCTGCTGTCAGAGCTTAAAGTAAGCATTTACTGCATTCCAAATGTTTTTAATGATTGCTGAGCGTACGTGTGCTCAACAGATAAACAAACACATACACCTGCACATCTATCGGTATGGAAAAGGGCTATAACTGAAACTTGCCCAGCTCCCTCACAACCAGACCACACAGAGCCAGGTAAGCAGATGCTGACAGGTGACACAAGCTACCAGAAAGTATCTAAAACCATCAGTAGCTATTTTTGTGTCTTTATACCTAAAACCATCACATTATTGAACCTCTACCCTATCATCTCCTCACTTCTCCTCCAGTTCCTTTCATGGCAACAGGCTCTGTTCACTGTAACAAGAGCATCTGGCTTCTAAGTGACAAGACGATGATAGCAAAACCTTACCCACAGACACTAAACATTTGCCAGTAGTTGCCGTCTGAGACAGCACAGACACAGATAAAACCACCGAGAAAAGAAAACAAACAAAACAGCCCAGACCGCAAACCAGAGGATAATCACAGCACAGAGACTCCTGACAGCCAAGTTGAGCTGTACGCACACAGCGTGCCGGCCAGGCCCTGCCTGTGACGCGCACATCGTGCCACCTCCGAGCAGCGCCTGCCAAGCGGCGGCGAATCAGAGCGCTCAGCAAGGAAAAGGAGCTGCCCGCCGGAACCGTGGGATGTCCTGGGCATCCCATCCAGGCCGGAGGCACCTGCGGGTCACGCGGCCTCCCTTCCCACCCGCACGGCCCCGAGCCCCGACTCTCGGCTCCCACCTCCGCCGCAAACCCGGCAGCAACCGCCGGACCCGGGCTGCCTCGGGCCGCTCCGCTCCGTTCCCCGCAGCCGCCACCGCCTTTGTGCGCGCCGCCCGCCGCCGCCACGGCGACGCAGCCCGGCGGTACCGCCCCGGAGGCGGGACCGCGGCGGGGCGGTGTGAAGGGCTGCCCAGGACGGCCCTGCCCACATCGGGCGGTGGGGCGGACCCGTCTGCCGGCCTGATGGTGGTGGTGTGACACGGGGGCGGAGCGCCGTTGTTCGGCCGATCGAAGCAATGGAAGGAGGCGTGGAAGCCAGCCGCAAACGGCCCGAGGGCGGTGGTGCCCGTTCGCCCCCCCGGAGGCTGCGCGGTGAGCGGGCGGGGAGCCTCCTCTGCATCGTCACTTACAGCTGTGTTCTCTCTCCGTTCGGCTGTGCCCTCAGGCCCAGAACGCTCTGTACCAAAGGCCGAACTAGGAGATGAGGACAGGTCGGTCACACGGTTGCCCCTTTCTGTGAGGGGGTGTCTCCTTGTTGGTTCCCTTAAAGTCATTGTTTCAAACTTGCAGTGACAAGAACAGAGATAGCTTGTGGTGCAGCAAACTAAATAGGGAAGTGGATGTGCACTGCTAAAACTACCAGGTAGTGGGATCTCTCATAGCAAGTAGGAGGGGATGGAGCTAAGTGTCAAACAAATGATCAGGAAACAGTAAAACACAGGAAAAAAAAGAGGGCATAGAACATGCATAAGGAAGGATCAAAGTTCATAAATGAGCTGGAGGAGAGCCTGCCAGATTTAGGCTTGAAAACTAGTTTTTTCAAGGTGTTTTTCATGTGCCTACATGTTCTGGTCCCCACCGTGTAGCACAGCAGAAGCCTGGGGAGAGTTCCTTGTTGAGCAATCAGCAATTAAGTCTTCCATTTTCTGTTAACTTTCCAGTCATACTGTGAAACAATCTCCTTGCAGTCTCCCCTCATCTCTCACCTACTTGTAATTCTTTGCAAGGTTTTTCTTCAGCAGTTCTTCCTCCCCTTCCAACTGTGTTTGCTAATCCTTGTGCAAACCACAAGAACTGCTGGATGATGAGACTGATGCACTCTCACGTGCTCAAATTCGTGTTTGCTGGAATTCCTGTAACTGGAAATTCTATTTCCAGTTACAGAGCTACATGAACAATTTCATCTCTGCTTTAGAACAAAAATTCAGTGAAGGCAGTTTCTGCCGGCACACAACAGATATGGGTGTTTGCTTATTCCCCAAAATAAAACAATATGCAACTGGGTCAAAAATCATAGACTCATAGAATCATAGAATTACAAGGTTGGTAGGGACCTACAAGGTCATCTAATCCAACCGTCCTCCCACTACCATTGCTACAACAAGCACTAAACCATATCTTGTAGCACTTCATCCAGACGCCTCTTGATCACTGCCAGGGATGGCGACTCCACCACCTCCCTGGGCAGCCATTCCAGTGCCTGACCACTCTCTGAGAGAAGAAGTTCTTCCTCATGTCCAACCTAAACTTCCTGTGGCACAACTTGCAGCCATTTCCTCAGGTCCTATTTGCTGCCTGGAAGAAGAGGCCAAACCCCTCTTCACAACAGCCTCCCTTCAGGAAGTTGTAGAGTGCAATGCGGTCTCCCCTGAGCCTCCTCTTCTCCAAACTGAACAATCCCAGCTCTCTCAGCCGCTCCTCATAAGCCCTGTGCTCCAGACCCCTCACCAGTTTCGTTGCCCTTCTCTGCACATGCTCCAGGGCCTCAGTGCTGTTCTTGCAGTGAGTGGCCCAAAACTGAACACAGCACTCGAGGTGCAGCCTCACCAGTGCTGAGTACAGGGGGATGATCGCCTCCCTGCTCCTGCTGGCCACACTATTTCTAATGCAGGCCAGGATGCCGTTGGCCCTCTTGGCCACCTGGGCCATGTTCAGCTGAGCATCAACCAACACCCCCAGGTCCCTTTCTTCCTCACAGTCATCCAGCCACTCAGCCCCAAGCTACATGGTGTTGTTGTGGCCAAAGTGAAGGACCCGGCACTTGGCCTTGTTGAACCTCATCCCATTCACCTCAGTCCAGAGTATCTGTGCTTTCATTTCCCATATAATTCCTTGTCCCTACAAGCACTGAGATGTGCTGGTGAATAGTCCCATCCCTGATGTAAATACAAGAAGCTGTGCCTGTGCCAGCAGTGGACCCTGACCAGTGCTCTGCTGCATTCATGTGGAATGCAGTTCAGTATTGTGTTCCCTCTGAGTGGGTGGTATCCTCCAGCCCTCACAGTTCTGGACTGCTTTAATGCCACCAAAATTCCACTACAGGCTTTCACTACTGTATTTATATAAAAACATAATTGTAACACATTGAATCAAAGTCACTATCTTTCCACAGCCTTTATACCACCCACTCTTCTCTGCTGCTCTCAGAAATCCAGAAATGAGAGCCTCACTGTTGGAAAGTTGTGTCCACTTATTTACCATGTTCAGCCACCTGCTGCTTGATCCAGCCCACAAGTAAGGTTCTACATTTTTTTTAAGGGTTTGATGTGCTAGGTTACATTTTCTCTTTCTGTGTTGCAGTGCAAATATAGCCATGATACAAGTAAGATACTGAGGAGAGTGCCAAATGCTTGCTCCGCAACTATAAGATTCTGCTAGAAGCACGACACCATCTTAGTCCTGTTTAGTTCTGCTGTTCTTGCTGATGTGACCATCATCTCTGAGGACACTGTTCCTCAGATTACTTCTCAGAACAACTTCTGCTGACTGATTCTGAAATCTTTACTCTTCTGATACTCAACTCGCTTCAGCTCAACTGTTCTCATCAGTGACATCTGTTTAAAGAACCAAGCACTAGTACATAGTCTATCACACCATACAAGCTTTAACATGGTCATGGATGTGGGTTTGGCTCAGTCCCATGTCTGGGCATAGTTTGGAGGATAGTATGGCCACAGACCATACCAGACTAAGAGGCACACTGAAGTTATGCACAAAACTGCATGTCTGAGGGAGCTGGACTATATGATCGAGAAGCATGCTGTGCCCTTGCAAGAGAATAATTCATGGAGTGAAAAAGTTTTGAATCAGGTCATTTTCTTCTTTGTTTTCTGGAGGCATGTTTGGGCAACACAAGTTTATTTCCTAAGTTTTGACTCTGCAACGGTCCACAGACTTTCAAAGGACCTGCTCACAGAAGCTTTTTTCTTTCCGTTCCTTCTCTGATTTGTATCCACCCATTATGACTCATTTAACACTTAATTCCTGTCCCAAAGAACTTACAGGTTATCAGTTCAGTTTATGTGCATATGGTTTTGGCACAGTGCTTCTAGCCTAGGAAGTAGGTTCATAATTACTCTGAAAAGACAGGTTGCAAGAAATTTGACCTGTGTAGTCTTCTGATAATTAATAAAACTGGCTTTAAAAAAGCCAAAAAGAAAGAAGATTTAATAAAACTCAAGCATAGGTTACTAGAATTTAGTACATATGTTTATGCAGAAGAAAAAAGAAGAAAAAAGCCTTCAGTTCTTGGGGCATTAGATCTTCCTGGCAAGCATGTTGGCCATTCAGAAAATGACCACTCAGACCAGAAAGTGATTTAATGCATTAGCTCTAATGCCTCTATTCCCACACTAAAACTGGGATACATCTTCAGGCATATAGTGCCTGAGTTATGAATGACTGCAATTGTTAATGCATACACAATGTCCATGTAAAAATGATTCCATAAATAGAGAACTTGAGCTTTTTGCTAACTTATAATGTATTCATAAGCAAATATAGCTCTGGAATCTGGTGCTGTTGTCTTGATAATAAACTCAGTAGCTCAAGCTGTATAAACTGTATAAGCAGTATAAGAGTTCATCTAGTTTTATTCCAGTATGAGCATTACAAAATCTGGCTCTCCAGTTATCTAATTAAATGTTTCAACATCTTAATAAAATAGTAACTCTCCTAATTTAAGTAAGTAGGTATTTTTATACTTTACCTACAGTACCTTTGATGATCTACTGAATCTTCCATCTCCATCATATTTTTTCCCTTTTATTTTCCTTCAATTACCTGGCAACTCATTTTTTCCTTTCATTTGAAGGCACACTAGTGGTGGTTATTGTAGCATATAGATGTATGTAGAAGTTACTTAGCTGTAGTGATTTATAAAACATTTTTCTGTCCTGCTGGTTTTTCTTTGTCAGTTTCTGGAATGGTCTGTTCCCACTCTGTCAGTGTGAGGTTCTTGAAGATCTCAGTAGAATACAACCTCAGAAAGAGTAAGAATGCCATCCTTATCCAACATAAAGCCATACAGGATAGATTTTATTCTTTATTCCGTATGAAACCATCTTGCTTCTGTCAGTGTGCTCAGTGTGTTGTATTTAGGCTGATGCTTCTGGCCCGCACCAGCTGCAAAGTTTGCCCCAACTGAACTCTTTGCCCTTTGCCAACTTCAGGTTTTGGATTCTGCTTTCCATATGGTTGTAATTGCCTGCTGACACGGTCAGTCACGCAGGTGTTACACAACACCGTTCTGACATCATTTCTTATCTTCCTTCTTTGTCCTCACTGTTAAGAGGTGAACAATGACATCATCCTCAGGAAGATTACGAGCTCTTCAAAAGGACTATAAAATCTAAGTCACTGAGAAGGTGGAGTGACAGGTGAAAAGGGAAACTGTGGGGATTATTTTGTCAAATGTAGGATTGCAGTTTTCCAGGAACAGATACAAATGAAATTAGAGGCAGGGCAGGAGGTATTGATTATTTACCAAAATGTTCATCTCTAATGCTAACACGCTTATCAATTGTCATGCCGTCAGGGCTTGTATTGTGTAACCAAATTTGGTTTTGTACCAACTACTTTTGGACTTGGTTTTGTGATACACAGTTTTCTACCTACCCCTCATTGAAAAGTACTCTCAAAAAAGAGATCTGTAGCCAATGAACTACTCAAGAAGTGGGTTTTTTTCCTTCTCAGTATATAACGTCTTGATAATGAAACTTAAATGAGCCTTTCTTTTCTCTTTAGATCCACCTCAAACCTTGCAAAACCATGAAAATCTCAGTGCTTCCTTTATATCCCAGGAGCTCTTTCCACAGTCAAAATACTGGGCTACCAAGGAACAGTAGCACGCATTGACTCCTATGATGCAAACATGGCCAAAACAAAAGAGGGGAGGAATATTCAAGAGACACACAAGGGAGGCTAAATATATCTATCAACTCTTATGGAGGTCTACTTGTACTAGTCTGGTCTTGTTACAAAGTGACTTACCTCCAAATCTGTAGCTTAAGCTCCCTAAATATAACCTTAGAAATCTTAGAAAATCATGAGCGCCAGTAAATCAAAGCAATAAGAATGTATGAGATTACAGAGATAACATCAACATACTCTTTCCTTAGCCAAAGCCCAGAGTTTCCAAGTAGACATGTTCAAACAAAGGACTGCGCTCTGCTCAGACAAAATACATGCTTTTGTTTAAAAGTACATACATATAAGGAAGGAATGATCATGTGCACCTTCACAGGAAGCCCCTCCACCCCCTTTTGGACTGAAATGCTTTCCAGCCCAAAAGCTACCTTTCCTTCAATCCAATATTTCTGTGCATGGCTAAGAGCTATTGCCCAGAACACTGTTCTCAAAGCACAGCAAATGAAAAACAAAATGCATTGTTTGTTTGGAACAAAATATTACAAAATATGCTTTGAGAACTCCAAACAAAGCTGCTGTATTTCTCAGAGTATAATATTTTCTTTGCTGTTTCTGTATCTTTTCCAAACAGTTACAACAGTTACAACAGTTATCTTAAAATATCCCATTCCTAAAAGGATATTCAGAAACCAATTTCTTCTGTTGGGAAGATCATTGCTTTATTCACACTTATGTCTACATCAGATTGCCTAGGAATATTGAATTATCTTAGCGAACAGGTCTAGAAAGTTACTGCTTGGAGTCTGTAAAGCATCACATTGTGATGCCCAGAGAGGTTGTGGAGTCTCCTTCTCTGCAGATATTCAGTACCCTCTTGGATGCCTTTCTGTGTAACCTACTGTAGGGAACCTCCTTTAGCAGGGGGTTGGATTGATCAGCTCCACAGTTCCCTTCCAGCCCCTAAAATTTTGTGATTTTCTGATTCTTGAATATTTGAAATGGTAGTATGTAGCCAGGTTACAGCATTTTTAAAAAACATATCTGTATTTCTTAATAAAGCTCTTTTCCACTTTTCCCAATTCAATCCATGCAACAGGTTTGGATCCTGCACCTCCAGCTGAAACATGTCAGCTTTCCTTCTTCAGGGCTTTCTGTAACAGCAAGTCAGGAAAGAGAGTGCAAGCCTGATCAACAGCTGTGGCCCTCAGGTCTTTCCTCACTGTCTTTTTGTTCATTCCCATGTGCTGTGAGACCTTAGCCTTGCAGCAGCACCTAGCAGCACAGGTTTCCAATCTCTCTGATCTTTAGCCTCTGAATAAGTATTAGGAGGTTTGCAGGGAGAGGTGAAATACTGTTGTGGGGATAACCCATCTTAGTGACATTTTCTTTGCACTTCTCCTCTTGGGATTTTAATGATTACAGTTTATGACAAGCATGTATTTGTTCTGGATTTGAAGTGTAGTCATCCTTTGAATGCCTGTAGCATAGCAATGTTTAACGAATATATGGTGTTTAAACAATCTTTTAGTTGTGCTGTCAGAGCTAACTTAACCATACTGCTTCTAGGATCACTTATTCTCAAAATTATATTGTTACTGATAAAGATAATAACTGAGATTGTACTGAAGTCCTAGAAACAAGTTGAGACATAAAGTTAAATGCAGTCACAGGGCAATGCTCTTTAATTACTTGCATCGAGTCCAAGTAGTTAATCGGTATATAAAGTTTACTGCAATCTTTCTCCTATTTAAGTGTGTTCACTGGTTTAGGCGCAGGGCATGTGGAAAACTCTCATTGGTGCCTCTGAGTCAAGCATTTTAAAGCAGGAATACTGTGATTTATTTCAGATTGCTACTTGCTATCTTTCTTTACATAGGTGAGAACATACAGATATTTATGGGTCATTGTGTAAGGAATAGAATTCACTTATGATTTCTGCATCTGGAGTACTTAAACAGTTAGTATATATGATTAGCTTTGCAAAATCATGAAAGTATTTTATTCCAGTTTCATGTTCAAATTTCTATGAATGGGAGAAGTGTCCATGATAACTCAGTAGTAAATGCTTCCCTTCAAATATCTTGATGTCAAAACAATTGTAGTCTCTCCAAAGGTGTCGTGGCAAAGCGGTCCCCAAACATGCTAATTAATGTTATATTAGAACTGCAATTAAGCAGAACTTAATTTCTATCATTATAAAAGAAAAATTTGGAAAACTAAACTTAGGTTTGATGTGACAAACAATACATCAGCCAATTCGAATTTGGAAAGGGAAGTGTTGAATATAGAAACTGCAACCTGCATACTTAAAGTGTTTTCCTGATTTTTCTGCTTTACTGAAAACTAAACAAAAACTGAAATTTTAC